ACGCGCGCGCGCACACACACGCACGCACACGCACACACACACACGTGCACATCCTTGGCCCTGAGTGTGAGAGTGACATCAGTGCCCTAAAGGCAGCAAGGACTAGAATAAGAAGAACGTCTGGGAGAATAACTGTGAGGTTTATCGACTCCTTTCTTCAAATCCATGTGATGAGATGCTTTCTCCGGTTCTTTAAAGCATGCACACTTAATGTTACTCTTTAAAAATTCTCCATCCGCTTTTAACCAAGAAATGAGATTTATAAAACRTAAAAGTCAAACTGATGAAAAGGGATTGGCACAAATAACAGCAGGAGACTTACAGCTCTGTGACATTTCGGGGGATGCCTTTGGGTAGTGTTTGGAGGTGCTTGTTACTGCAGCGCACCACTGTCTCCAGGCAAGTGCACTCGCTGGGACACTGGGGACGAGGAATACAGGTCGACTCCTCGTGGCCTGGGAAAAATAAAACAAAACATGAGAAGAGTCTAATTAGTTATAAAAAATAATACACGGCAAACAAGAGTAATACCTCACACAAGATATAAAATTGCCTTTTAAGGTGCAGCGAGTTTTGCATTGTGCTCCAATAAACAGTAATTAAAGAGGCACTGATTGCTTGGCAGATGACTGGAAGTAGACAATTTTCAGCTCGACTGACTCAAAAATCAGATTTTAAATGTATTCTTCTCCAGTCCTTCAATGCACCTTAACTACGAGGCTACTGTGTGCTAACAATCCTGACTGAAAACGTTCTGTTGATCCCTCATCTTTTATGGCTGCATCATTATTTGACAAAGAAATATACATGGTGCTGGAATAACTGCAAACCAAGACAGCACTGCAAAAAAAAAAAAAAAATCACAATCTTTCAAGCTGGTAACGCTTTGAAAGGAAGTGAGAAATGTGAAAAGTAAAACAAAACAGAGGGTAGAGAGGCCTCCCTAATGTAATATCGACCAGCAAGAGCAAAGAATGGAGGCTGCCTCGGGCCCAAAGACAAGTCTAACAGTCATTCAGGTGCAAATAGGCTGACTCGTCAATAAGACAAACAGCTCAATATTGGAGCTTCGCTCAGCCCACAATCGACCAGCAGCTTAGAAACTGCTGAAAAGCAATCTGTTCCGTAAACAAAAGAGTCACACAATAGCGGCCATTATTTAAGATGATCTCAGACACTTTCGTCAGCTTTTGTTCACAGCGTATTGCACAGTGTAGAGAAACGCTGAAGTCTTTGTCAGGCACACACAGGAGTTGGATTGTAATCTAGCATATTGACACGGCTTATCTCCTTTCAAGGAGATGAGTAACTTCATTCAGAGGAGAAGATTCAACAAAACTGTAGCTTGAAATTCAAGAAACAAAATGAAAGACGACTCCAAAAAAAAAAAAAAATACGACACCCACCGTCCTCACAGCGAAAATCAGGCAGAGCTACGTCCTGAAGAGGGATCTCCTTCAGGAAGGCTGGACGCTGGCAGCGAGGGTTACCCGTCACAATCTTCCTACTCCTCAGCCAATCGCCGAGCCAGGCCAGCCGGCAGTCACAGTTAAAGGAGTTGGCCAAGAGGTTGCTGGAAGAAAGCAAGCAAAACAAGAGGTAAGAGCAACAAGAATTTGCATCTCCTGCAAAAAAAATACAGTGTGAATGCTTAATGCTGAAAGATTTTTGCAGAAAACTGCTGAATAAGCTGAAAAAGTTGCAAAATATTAATGTGAGTTTAATTGAACAGCTGTCGTCTGCTGAAAAAAAGTAAAAATAGTGAAAAATAACACAAATGCATTAAAAAAGCTGAACAGAGCAGAAATGTTGCTAAAAGTAGCAGAAACAAGTTGGATCTAATAACAGGACAATAAAACAACTTACATTGTCAGAAAATAACTACAAAGAAGTTGCAATTTGTGATAAAATAGCTAAAAAGAAGCTGAACTAGCCTAAATCAGCACAAAGAAGCATAAACAGCATATGTTGGCTGAATTAAGCAGTAAAGAGCTGAAATGATCACAAAAAGGTGAAATTAGAACAAATATGTAAATTAGTTGAAATCAACTTAAAAGTAGCTTAAAGGGCARAAAACTGCTTAATTTAGCATAAAAAGGCAGAAAGATGCACAGAAAAGTTTCAATTACAAGAAGAGTAGCAGAAAGGTGCAGAAAGGTAACTGAAATAGCAAATAAAACTAAAATGATAAAAAAGAAGCTAAAAAAGACTGAAAATAGCAGAACCAAAATAAAAAGTGTAAAGTGAAGTAAAGATTTATAAACACTTTGAAGGGTTTTTAGAATGTTGACGACAACTCAATTCATTTTCAGTTAGAAAAATGTGACCAAAAAAGCTAAAACAACTAAAAAAGTTGCTGAAATAACAGCTGAACGKTTTGATATATAAATTGTGGAAAATAGCACAAAAATTGTGGAACAAGATAAGCGCCAAAAAACATACAAAAGAAAAATGGCTCTTATTAATGTGAATGTTTTATTAGCATTCACAAAATGACAGCTAATAAAAAAGATTAAAAGTTGGTAAGTTCCTGTGTCTTACAGAGTGGAGAGAGTCTGCAGCGTGTCGAAGGCTCCGGGAGTGATCGTGGTCAGCTGGTTGTCGTACAGAGAGAGCAAACGGACATTATGAAGGCCTGTGAAACTGTCGTTGTGGACACAGCTGATCTTGTTGTTCCTTAACATCCTAAAAAAGGGAAGAAATACAACGCTCTCAGTAAAAATCTGAATTATTTCCATGTATTTTTTGAGCTTTAAAAGGTTTGAGCATCACTCACAGCATTCGCAGCCCCTCCAGTCCTCGAAACATCCCGCTCCGCACCGAGTCCATTTGATTGGCTGTGAGATGAAGCTCGATGACGGACGACGCACCTTCAAACGACCCGTCTTCAATCTCCGTAAGCTTGTTGTTGCTGAGGTTACTGTAAATAAGAAAATAAAAAGCACAACTAAGTACATATAAGAATATATCTGTTTGAAGTTAGCGTTAAAAACGATCACTCACATTTTCTTCAGCTGGGAAAGGTTCTTAAAGATTCCAGTTGCCTCCAGACTTGTGATCTCATTGTTGTTAAGGCGGCTAAACAAAATAAAATAAAATAAGTGAAGGCAAACCATTTTTAAACTTGCAGCTGTCGTTACTTTTATTTTCATAATATTAATGGATATTTTCTCAGTTTCCTTACAGTTCAGCTGTGGAAGAAGGGATGTGTTCGGGGATCTTGGTGAGCTTCAGGTTGGAGCAGTCAACCACATTTGACTCACAGCGACACTTGGGAGGACAAACTGGATCCGTGTTGCAGGCATTATTCAGACGGGTGTCCTCAGTACCTGAAAAAAAAAAATCAAACAAATAAACACTTTTCTAATTAACAAACTCCTAAACCAACCAAAGCCTTTAACTGGCTTGACTTTCTCTCTAACAGAACAATTCTTTTCATCATCTTTGACCTCCTAAAGACATCCTGTAGCGCTCCCACTGCAGGACAGAATAAGATGAACTGGTAAAGGTGAACATATCAGAAAAGGTAAAAAAGTAAGAGCCATGGGGTGGAAAGAAAGAGGATTGGAACAGTCAGATTCAGTGAGGCAGAGCACTTGAGAGTGGACAGTGGAGAAAAGGCGGATGAAAGGTGTGCAGGAAACACGAGCAGACAGGTGGAGTTAAAAGGAAGGAGAGCAAAGAGAATCCAGGAAAGACGAGACGGATGAGAGAGAAACAGGAAGTTGAGGGGAGGCACGGGRAATTGACAAAGAGCAAGAACGAGCCTGGGGAGCGTGGGATGCTTTTCCTGCACCTCCTCTTGCCTATGAATAGACGTTACGTGCCAAAAAGTGTGCTGGCAGTTACATCATGGCTGCTCAATAATGGAACAGCGCTGGGATCTGCTCCGAACCATGTGCCCGTGTCCCCGCAGCTACGCATTGTGTCTCGGTGTTTGTGTGCGCGCGCGAATGTTTCACTTAGAGGGTACGGCCCTCAGTTCTGTTCGTTTTGTGTCTCGCTCTTCTACAGCGGCGAAACCACCGAGCCTGGAGTTGGAAGACGATGACATCAGYGGGACACAGCGGGGCACCCAGACCACATTTATGAAGAGGAAAACCTCAAACAACCAGGACACAAAAATGCGGCCTGAGCATCAAATATATCGGTTCAAAGAAAGAAGCATCACTCAAAATTTACAGCCGCATTCCTCATCCCTGACTTTATTCAAATCTATAATCAAACAGCCACATTTACAGTGACTTTCTGAAGCAGTGTCACTCCTCAGAGCGGTTCTGCGGAGGTCGCAGACACACACAGTGACGCAGGTCATTGAGAAACTTTCCCGTGTTTCGTCCAGACGACAGAAAAGGGCATTTCCTGCTATACAGGAAGGAAGGAAAGTGCGAGGAAAGTGCTTTGATCTTCAGGATGCAGAGGAGCCGAGGGAGACTTTGTGAGCCTGAGTCATCGCTGTCGTCACCAATGCGTGGCGGCGACACTTTTACTCTCAGTGCATTTGCACGAAAGTGCAGAAAACAGAGAGCAGAAGGACGAGGTTTTCCCCTCTCTCCGAGACGAGAAATGACTCATCGCTGGAGTTGTAGGAGTTCTCATAATTCCCTGCAGCTTGCCTCGTAATTATCAATGTGTTGTGGAGTTCCTGTGGTGCCAGGGACTGTGTGTGTTTTAGTGCATGACTGTGTAAACTGTGGAGGCTTTTATTGTTATCATTCTGCAAGGGTGAAATCCTCATTAATCACACTTGGCTTTGATCTCATTTCTGCTAACACAGTACTCCCATTTGTTGTCTAAGCCAGCACAGAGGTTTATCTCAGCGCAGCACACAAAGACACATTAATTTTACACTCATGGAGTTATACCGGTGCTCACAATGAGCCACACAAACATGCACAGCACCAGAAACGCACACACGCAGACTTTGACACACATCACTGCTCTTCGTAGTTGTTTCCTTGGAAGTGCTCTTGTTAAGAGGTCCGGAAACATCCCCCGATAGGAATCTGGGTCCTCCGGTGGGCTTTATTTTCTTTAGCTTTGCTGATAGAGAGGACACGCTTTCCTTCCCCTGTGTCTTTCTCTCACTCTCTCCCCGTCTTTCTCTCTTGGAGTGTCTGAGCTAAAGCCAAAGCAAAGAGAAACTTCCTTTTGGTACTCTCTGCTGATGCTGTTAGGAAAACATCGCTGAGATGAAACATATGCTCTAATGACTTTATATAATTATAAAACTTCATGTATATAGTAGGTTTAGTCACTCTAGGGATCAATCTGCTGTGTGCATAAGGACGTCAGTAACCATCAGTGATGCACTGATTTAATCTAATATTACCCGTAAATGCTCCRTGTTTACTTTATTGCAAACCATTTCCTCCTAACTTATTACCAGGATAAAGAAACTAATTATCTCAGTTTTTTAAAAAAACAAATGGAAAATGTTAGCAAGAATCCCTGACATTTGGGAAGAAAATAATTAAAAATTTAAATGTTTTTAAGCACTTTTCATTTGTTTTACTTTAGATAAGTTCATCTAACTTCATCTGACCATCAACACGATTAACACATGACACAAACTCTAAAAAAACATATAATTACTAGGGGTGCAGCGATACAGAAAATTCAYGATTCGGTTTGGTTCGATATTTCAGTCTCACGGTTCAATATTTTTTCGACACAAAAAAGAGAAATGTCCATGCCCTTCTTAACTTGTAATCAATTGAAATTAATTATGAACATTTGTTTAACCTCAAACGTACAGTTTTTAAATTAAATGTTGCTGAAACAGCAAGTTTCTCAGTGGATCTGCGCTCGACAATGCAGCCTAGGTGGAGTAGTCAAACACAGATCCACTGATCCTTCGACACAAAGCATCTTCAGAAGACAAGCTGATAAAATACATTTTAAAAATCTGCATTGYTTGATCCAAATGAACCGAGCACTGCATTGAACGGTTCGATACAGATCCATGTATTGTTGCACCCGTAATAATTACGTGAAAATGAACCGTTAGCAATGGAAGCCATGATGACATAGCAGCAGTTCAATGCAAAGAAAATAAAAAAACAGTCAGCGAGAGACGTGAATATTTACAAGCCACTCACCTGGGATGACGTACTGCTCTTTGGCTGTGATGGAGGAGACAAAGAGGGACGGATGTCAGTCAGATGTGCATAGCTGTGGCATCGCTATGCATCAGAACAGTCATATATAGCGCTTATATATGACAGCAAATGACTACATGTTGATTAAACAGAGAAGCCAGTGACTGTCTCTGTTCGTGACAATATGGAGACAGTGATACAGCACAGTGGGGACAAATATTTGGCTGTTGCTAAGGGAGAGTGACATTAGGGGAAAAAAGAAAAAAAAGAAGCATGAAAGAAGGAAAGAAGACAAAAAGAAAGAGAGAATCCCTTCGTCACAAGGTCTAACAAAACAAACAAGGGTATAAAGAAGTGCTAAACCTCAAAAGTGCCAGACATAAACACTGCGGTGAATGGTGATGGGAACATTGAAGTTAGCTGGACGCTTGAGATTTGGAATACTGAACAGAAACTACCTTACACCAGCCTTTTAATGGTCTCAGCTCACTAGTTTAAATGTGAAATCAGACTTGTAGAGTAGAAAATTGGAGAGGGAAATGACAAGAAGTGCCTCTTTTTTCAGCATCGAGTACTGACAAAGGAGCACCACACGATAAAACCTTTTGGATCATTCACTCATTAAATATACAAAGTGATAGAGGAATATGGGGATTTAAACTTCACAAAGGGAACGTAAGAGTGGATAAAAATAGAGGGGTGAGAAAAAAAACAACAAAGCCCGTCCGAGAAGTAGAAAACCCCGGAGAAACAGACAGAGGAGGCTTTCAGAGACGCACAGAGCCACCAGCCTACCAGAACAGCGGAACTTCTTGCTCTTGATTTGTCCGATGCGTTTGTTTGCCAGACGGCGTGGGCTGGCGCAGCGGGCGCCGCTRGTTTCAATCGGGTTGGAGCGCAGGTAGTCTGCCAGCCACTTCAGGTTGCAGTCGCAGATAAACGGGTTCTGAGCCAGGTGACTGGGGATAGATTGGGAAGAAAAGGAAAATGAGAAAACAGAAGAAAAATCATGAGATGAGTTGGTTTTTTTGACATGTTTCGTCAATGTTTCGTCACAATTACTAAAAATTAATTAAACAAAATATTTGGAAAGAGACACATTTTTAGCGGGTATCAAAAATATTTAACTAACAGTTACATAGTAAATGCCTTCATAAACAATGCTTTTAATTTAAAATGAAAAAGGACTTAAAGGAGACCTTTCATGCTTTTAAATCCTTCTTTTTCACATTTAAATCATTCAGTTGTGGTCTATATAAAGTGGAACTGCAATGCTTTGGTTTGAATTTCTCCTTATTGTAACTCCACAAGCCCCTTTTTCAACATTTTTCTGAGGTGTGTCTCTGATCAACTCGTTTTGAGCCTGTCTCTTTAAATCCAAATGAGTTGCTTCACACACCGCACCCCTCCTGCTTCCAGAGCGGTCCATTCTAGTTTGATAGCAGAGATGTATGACTATGTAGCAGTGCAGAAGCTTTTTATTTACAAATTAATTAAAAGATAAATCCAGACCTTATTTACAAGTTCCATCTTAAAATTGTCACGTAATAGCTCAGAAAATGTTACAGAAAAACTTACGGGATGAAAAATATGATCCAAACAGAATATAAAGATATCTTCGCTGCACTGGGAGAGACTAAACTCAAATTTTAGACACTCCTAGAGACTCCAAGTACACAAAAAATGAATATAATGGCCAAAAAAAGATTTTGCATGATATGTTCCCTTTTAAAAACTATATGAACATGACTCTTGCAGACAAAAATCCTTAGTCTGTTTGAAGAACCTGATATTTTTAGATCATTTATTGTCCTGTTTAACATGTTCTCAGAATGCATGTAACAAAAAACTGAAGCATGTGTTGAGTAAACAACTCTCATGCATTTTGTTCACAGGTGTGTGAGAGTGCGTAAAGCTGTGTGTGTTTGCGCGCATGTTTTTGACTCACAGGGTCTGTATAGCTCGCAGTGACGTGAAGGTGCCCTTGGCGAGCGTTTGGATCTTGTTATCATACAGCGATAACAGCGAGAGATTCTGCAGATCCTGGAAGGCGTTGGCACGAACGCAGTGAATCTTGTTGGCATTCAGCAACCTAAAAGAAGCGAAGGAAAACAGGGAGGCAGTTTGTCAGAAGTTCCTTATGAATTATTTTATTATATATCCAGAAAAGCTGATTTGAAAGTCATGCCTGGTATTCGGTACGTCTGGAGAATATCAGCAAAGTGTACAAGTTTCCCACTTACAGCAGTTGCAAGGCGTAGAGGCCGTCAAACACCCCCTTGGGCAAATCGGTGATTTTATTTCCATACAGCACGCTGAGAAATCACATCAGAGACTTTAGAAACAGCAAGCAACAACTGAGTGGCTTTTTTTGTTTTGTGCTCGAGATCAGCTCTGGACAACTTACAGGGAGTTGAGAGAACGCAGACCCTGGAAGGCATCCGGAGCTATCTCTGAGATCTGGTTGTTGCTCAGGTCTCTGCATTGAAGGAGGATAAAATATTAGACACTGACCTAGAGTTTTATGAGTTTTAAAGTCCCGCTTGATCCAACTTTTACTTGCAGCCCCGTTGTTACCCTCACGGGAGGACAGATCCAAGACCTCTGCTTGCAAGGGAGGAGGAAACGAATGTAGTTTTTGGGCAGGATGAAGATGACTCCCAGATCTTTCCCATTTTATGTTGTGTCTCTTCATGGGAGCCTTGCAGCCAATCAAAACATTTACTTGCATTATTTGTGGCCTATCAACCAATCTTCCATTGTGGTGTGTTCAAATGAGTAAGAATATGTCGCAGGGCTGAAATCCAGTGCAAAACAAGGGCAGACTGCCTCGAAACATAGCTGATGTTAATAGGATCCGCAGGCCTCTCACCACAGGATAACCACTAAGCCCATGTGCCCAGGAGTAGTGTGTGTCTATATGAGCGAACGCAAAAGTAAATGAAGAACAGTGAGACAGAGAGGAAAAAAGACAGATGGAGGAGGAGGTTTAATGGAGTATGCGGACTGAACTCCAGTCGACTGGATACCTTTGAAGGAAAATCATCATGTGGTGAAGAAGAGGGATATTTTCTCATTTGGGGGTAACATTTAAATAAGTAGCCATTTGTCTTCTTGCAAGGACTGAGGTTTCCTGGAAATGAAAGCGAAGACTGGAGGCCAACAAATGCACTGGTGTGTGTCTATAAACTCAGACACTGGAGTGTTTGTGTATACGTCGGTGTGTGAGGGCTTACAGAATCCCTGCATAAAGGGGGCGGTTCATGTACAGGTCATTTAAGCTAAGACAAGAGGAAAAACACAAACAATATTGTTGGCATTTATTGGGAGAAGACACAAGGTGCAAAAAGCCGTGTGTTGCAACAAATAAACCAATATGTACACAAAACCACTGATATACATCTGAACATCTGCTGACTTTGACACAGGAGAGTGGGCTTATTCATCATAATGTACAGTGGCTGTCTACACACTGCATACTAAGGGTGTCGAACACTGGATCGGCCCAACCAGCGAGTGTCCAGCTGAATCAACAGAGACATCAAGGGTCAACACAGACACAGAGTCACCCAGAGTTGTTGATAAATGTTGAATCCACAGCTCCAACATCAGTAGCAGGTTATGTTTGTTTGAAGGAACAGATGGATTTAGACAAAACTTCAGCTCAGTTTGTGCTGGGTTAAGAAAAGATCAACATTTTTACTTGAAATGTGAAAAAATATTGTTGGATGCATCTCAAGATAATCACAATGATCCCACGTTGGACCTGGGAATGTATATTTCRTGAAGAACTGGAATGAGTACAGAGAACCTTACAAAACATTTCAGCTTGGAAATATACCGCCCAGTCATCCTCTCACACATATACGTCAAAGTTAATCTCTCAAACATGCACGAATGAGTCAAAGCAACAACGTTTTTGATGAGGGAATGGCATTATAACAATACAAAGATCAAAATAAAATTAGCATACTCCCCCTTTAAATGTTCTATTTATTTGTAAGCAAATGAATTATCATAAATTTAACAAATTAGCAACTTTTATTGATGCCTAAAGACTTTCTGCAGGACAGAATGTTACTGGCGGTCCTTTATTCCATCACCAGTCAGGCTTTACAACCAAACTGTGTGAACCATCTCCACATCTCATTTCTCARCTAGTACATACGGTACACTTTTCCTAACATTAATGTATTTCATTACATTATTTTATTTTATTGCATCTTATCTTCAAACTTACTGCAACAGTTCTTCTGTTTGCGAATATGCTTTAACAAATAACAAGGGATGCACCGATATGAAAATTTTAGCCGATTTTGACATCCGATATAATTATTGCTGTTATGGCCGATAACCGAGATTTACCGATATTACAAAAACCCACAAATTTTTTATATACATATACACACAAACACACTTGGGTCTTTTTTTGATACAGTAAATAAATGACCAGACCTCTGACATGGCTCCCTACTTCAGTTATTCCTGGCTGCACAGCATCAATATCACTATCATGATCAAACAGATACAACTTGACCAAACATTTCGCCTCCMAAAACAGAAAAACAAAGCTAAAAAGTAGGAAATCAATATTGGACGTTCATATCGGCCTAGTTTTACATATTGGGCTGATACCAATATTCTAAAAACATGACCAATGTCGGCCGATACCGATGTTAATGCCGATATATCGTGCATCCCTACAAATAACTAAACAATCATTCCTCTCCTGGCCATTTCTGATGTAAATAAAATAATGAAAAAAGTTGGGTTCATGGAATTTAGGTTTTTCCTCCAAAATAAAACATTAAAATGACCTGGGTGTTCTTCATTAAATACATTTTTAACTGCATTTATAGTCATAGTTTCGTACACTTGTCAGAATGTTTCCACTGACATTCCCCTGCAGCTTCAGCCAGTTTTTTGCTCATCATTCACCTGATCTCATCTCCACACTGTCCCTGGAGCTGAATGAGAAAAGGGCGAGGAATCGTTTAGGAAAAGGCAGAGAAACTCCATGACCTTCCGGTCCCTCCATCTCCCCGCCGCCATGTGAGTCAGGGTCAGTGGTGTTGGAGGTTTGGCCGACTGGTGTGCAGACAGCTGGCTCAACAGGCAAGAAACCGCTCAGTCTCAACCACCAGCTCGTCACCGTTCACTCCCAGAAACCCTCATCCCAGCCCTCGCTCTGTCCCCTTCACCATCATCCCTGCTGGCAACATGCAGACTGGACACAACCCTAGCCAGGGGAATACCAGTGGGCAAAAGTGGAAAAACGAGAGCTGCTATTATGCACATGTAGAGTGCTTGCTTTCCCTTCTACCTAAAGCCTGAGAACAAGCCGATGTTTCTAAAGGGCAGACAAAACAAATACTGCACACTCTTTGAAAGTAACTGTAAGTCACAGCTTCTTTTTCCATGCAGAGTTTCTTCTCATCTGTGTTATTTTGCCCTGAGGTGAACGTAGTGCTGTACTTACATCCTGCGAAGTTTCTTGTAGGGAGAGAAGGCTCCAGGAGGAACAGACTTAATCCCGTTCTGCTCCAGACGTCTGCGGAGGAGAAGAGAGGAGACGTGATACCATTAGCTAACCAAACAATAGTGTTCTCCATGGCAACAAAGCTGAGTAATCACCTCTGACCCCTCAGTGATCGGCCTGATTATATTAACGCAGATCTTTTTCGCGGTTGTAGTCGGGCCAGGCACGTTGGAGTCATAACATCCACAAAAGCAATAAACAGTCTGAATACTAAAGTGCWGTGGAAACGAGACTGGAGGAGGGGGAAAAGCTCCGCGTTGCCTTCTGTGAGGGTGTTAAGGCCTTCAGCAAAAAGTCATATTTCTTCCTGATTTAACATTTACAGTTTCCAGCACTTAAGCGCTCATATGAGATCACGAAATCAATAATGATCTCACTGGTTCTTGTGAATGTTGCCGCTCTCCTCTGGGTGTCTGCAGAGTATCCACTGAAACCTTTGCAGCRGGGGTAAAATATGACTTCTCTGCGTTTACCTTTTCCTGTGAGCCGAAGAAGCAAAGTTAACAACAGAAGAGTCTGACGAAGCTCACTATAAAACAACTGTCAAAGCGTGGAGTTATTACGCAGACAAACATGCACTCGGTCATCTAGACCTGAGCAGCAACAGAGTCTAATCGGTGTCAGATGGTCCCTGGGAAGCGGAGTTCCCTGAACCCCATTAGCATGGGCATGCATGTGWGTTTCAGGGCCCAGAACAAATCCCGGCTGTAGCTGGCAGAGGGCTGTTTATCTGCAGGTCAGTTCACAGCTTTTAAAACTGTCCTTACTGGGGCTTAGCAAGACCCAGAGGAAGCCAGMTGCAGGCCTGTCTAGTTGTTCGACCGCTCCAGCTTCCTGCAAAGGCAACAGGCTGCAGACCAAAGCCATGGGCCTGCACGAACTGCGGTTGGCTAGTGGCTACATCAGCATCTAAATATCATTAAGTTGCTATTTGTCACCACAGGGAAAAATGGGAAATATTTAAAAAACTGCATAGCTCCTTAAAGTTGGTAACAGATTTAGCCACCACCTTCTCAAGCATGAGATGTTTTGGCACAGAAGCTTTCCCGCAAGATTTAATTAGTCACTTGGAGGCATTTCAGATATAACTACATGCCTCTGAGGCCTCTTGTTTACGTCTAATCATGGGGGGTAAATGTTTTGTTAGATRCTAGCCACAGCCATTTAACTGTTTTCAGCTTCCAAATTTTTCAATCAAGAATCATTCCCCATGAAAGGACTGGCCTGCACTTATAGAGCAGTATGGGAGCGCAATCGACATTCCTCGGATAACAGTGATTGTAGACCACAGATTCCTGTGGTGGACACGCGCTCTCCGTCTGTTTTCGTCTGCGTGTGTTTGTGCATTCACAGTGGAGTGACAGCAGTGTGGTTCCTCTGCCCTTCACCATGCAAGCAGAGTGCCGGGCCAAGTGGCTTTAGCGCCTTCTCTCATCAACCAGTCTGACTTAACTGGTCCAAACCAGCTTGGCGCTCTGCGCGCAGCTCGAACGTGTTTCGGTGTCGGCGTATGTACGTGCCGTGGTGCTCCTGGTGTGCCAACACGAAGATAAACCTTATTGCACCACACGCAATAATAAGAACATTTTAGCTTTTGCATTGTTGCTCCTCGCGGATCAATGTGCACGAGCGACTTAATCCTTGCAATCAACAAAGAGGCTCCTCTATCCATTTCCTTGAGTTAAAAAAAAGAAACAATCTGCCAGAGTTGTCTGCTGATGGAAAAATCAATGGTTCCTGTCCAGTTTGTCAGCCTGAACAATTGTGCATGTGTGTGCATCTGTGAGCTGGTGTTTGTGTCAGTCCAATCAATGTTTTTCATCCTTTTCATCAGGATCTGAGCAGGGCTTTCATTAAAAGGGGAAACACATTAYGCCTTTGGGTATTCAACCAGTGCGTGTAGGAGTCAGAAATGATGGCAGAGATGTGGCAGCGCAGATAAAAGGCAAAGGGAAAGTTTTACGGCACGGCTCGTCATTACAGACAGAGACTACGATGCATAATAATCTGCTGTGGTTTTGTTTATGTTAACAAGAAGGGAATTTAAAAAAAAATGGCTCAAAACCTCAAAGCCATAAACACAACGCTCATTAGAGTAGAGGTAGAACAGAGGGGTTTTAATTCTCAGATTTATACATAATGAGAGCAGCGTGTGTATGTATGTGTGTGTTTCCGTGTGCCTAATTAGCAAGGCATTAGGCCAGCTGTGATACGCAGCAACCTGCCACACTGTAAGTGAAACTGATTTTATAATGAACTTCAAGCACAGATCAAACCTGCTGCATGAAGTTACTGAACGGACCCCCCACCCCACTGCTTTCCATTTGACTTTTTTATTGTCTGTGCACCCCCATGAACTCGCCTGCAGTGACTTGGCAAGCCAGGGGAAAAAAGAAAGGAGACAGAGAGAAAATGCTGAGGAGCAAAAGAAAAAAAAGAAAAGGATGAAAAGGTAAAAGCCTCATGGGAGTTTACCATGCAACGGAGAGGTTCTGCTGGGCAAGACAGGAGGAATCCATACAAGATTCTCCTTGGTCTTGTAAAATATGACTCAGAACATAGTTCAGTACGTGAGCAGGGCATGTTTTAGCACCAATTAGCTCTGAAGGGCAGGGGAAATTTTAAAATGTCTGCAGTGCAGGGACAATCTACTGTCTATAATAAAAAAAAATATCTCCCAGTTGTGTCCCTGTTCACTCATTACGCTCACTTAAAGGTCAGATCATAGATAAAAATCATATACGTCACATCCCACTTGTAAAACTCTGAAACTAAAACAAAGCATCATGGAAAGAGCTGTGTTTTCATATTTTAGGTTCTGTATCTCCTTAAAAACACAGAAACCAAATTATTTACATCTCAAAAATCAGAACGCAGAACGTATGAACACCTTCGTGTAGATTTCAACATTTTGTTGTTTTATCAGTCTGCTTGACGAGAACCCACAGTGTGCACGTTACATTCAAATGATTCCCACCATCATTTGATGAAATTTAGCACATGAGTGTAGCAGAAATGGGTCAGGGTTGTTGGGGAACATGGGATCAGTGACTCCGACACCGGCTGGGTATTTATAAACAGACTCCATGGGGAGCAGGAGACCTAGAAACTTGCTGTGTCCTCCTCGCTGCACACATGCTTTAAGGGAAAAAAAAGAATCTGTCTATCTTCGTTTTTTCACACCAGACACAAATCACTGTCGCCGTACTATTTCAGGGAGACAGTGGTTTGAAACCCCCCGATAAAGAGAGTAAAATGACTTATTTGTGAAGTTTAGCCATGCATTCCTGGGAAGTACAGTAGAGCATGTGGGCCGTGAAGAGTTAATGCCCTGACAGATGTTGGAGGACTGATAAAGCGAGGGATGTTAGCAAAGCACTCTCATGTGGTCCACAGCATTCTAACCGATTACGAGCATGGAGTCTCAATCTGAAATCTGTGTAGAGATTTTTTTTTTTTACAGGAGACTAATATCCTTTGATACATGTAAAACAAAAAAAAACCCTCTAACACAAACTAGTTTAAAACCTCTCTGCTTTATAACTTCTTAGTTTGTATTTTTACTAAAGATCTACCATGAACCCTTTTCTTGCCATTCCTTGGGAGCAAAACGAAGGCGCTCACATTTCAGCCATGTTGTCGGGCAGGTTGGCTGGGATGGCGGTCAGTCCTTTCCCTCTGCAGTCCACGATGTTGTTACTGCAGGTGCACATGGCGGGACAAGAGCCTCCACCAACGCTGCACGGCTGCAGACTGGATGTGTCCTGATGTCCTGAGGATCAAAAGAAAAAAARAAACAGGTTAATAAAAAAGGTTAAGAGTTGATAATTAAGAAAAAAGATCTTCCGTTTTATTTTAATAGTTCTTCCAGTACAAAAAGGCAGGAAATGGTGGTATTCCCTTTAATAAACTAAATGCACTGAAGCCCAGAAGAGCTCTGTTTTGACTAAATCAGTCTATTGAACATTTTTCACAAAATTCTTGTTTTTAATTTTTACTTTTGGTAGGCTTTGCACGATTCATTGTGCAGATGACTCCAGGTCAGTCTGAAACTCTTTTACAGTGCTTACAGTTAAGGTGTGAAAACAGCTATAGTAAAAGTATTTTCTACCCGAGTGTGAGTTCTGAAGGATTCGTTGGTTTCAAGTGAAAAAATGGGAAAATAAATAATTAATTGATGGAATTTTTCTTTACATGACTCATTACAGCTTCAAACCTGTAGTGTTTTAAAAGCTAAATTGCAAATTAACACGGATTTCTCTTTTTTATCCTTAAAAAAAAAACAAATGAAACATCCTACCCTTAACTTCAGTGTAAAGCCGTAATATCCTTGAAAATCAGTGCGAAAGAAACTAGGTTACATATCAAAGTGTCAAAGTACATGGAAAGCGGAGAAAAGACATGAATAACGCAGAGTGACAAGSCAGAGCTTCCCAATAAAACCCATTGATCTTTCCTGAAGTTTTTCTCCTGARTCTGCGTTCTCCAGGTGGAATTGATGCCATTCTGCAAATTCAGCGTTACAACCACCCCCACCGCCCCACCCTTCCCATTTGTTCTAACAACTCTTCAACTTTTTTTTCTCCCCCCATTTGCATACCGAGCACACGGCTCATCATGCTGTCTCCAGATACCTGTTCAAATGGCTGCGGCTCTCTGTCAGAGGTGCGGTGAAGAACGGTGCGTCTGCACTGCGCGCGCGGCATCGTCTAACCCAGTTAAAATGAATAAAACAGACTTTTAAATGGCCTCATTTACACAGCCTTACTAATCTGAGTTTCAAACCATGAATATTTAATTACCTTCCCGTCTATCGCTCAGCTTGTGTTGGAAAACGTTTGGCAGGAGAAAACTGGATGGGCGGGAGGTGGGGTTGGTGAGGAGGGGGGTTCAGGGAACGAGTGAATGATGGTGAAAATCAGTGACAGCGGTTCAAACTCCACTGCCCAAACACTCATAGCTTACCACATCATTTATTACTCTGACTCTTGGACTGTTTATTTAATAAGCAATGTTTGAGGTCAGGCATCACATATCTGTTGAAAAGTCATCAATTATATCTTTTTTTTTCTCTGACAGATTAAGCACTCAGACAGTAAACAAGATCTTAAAAYTGAGTCTAAACTGGCACCATGTGATCTGAGGTCGTGTGATCTGCGATGGCAGAGCTTTGATAGATTTGGGATCAGGGTGTCGGGCAGAGAAAACCCCCTCCGTCTGATACAACGTGGCACATCTGACAGGCCTGGGATCAGGGAGAGTGCGGTGCGCAGCTGGAAGCGGCCTTAACAATGACAGCTCCCTGACAGGYATACCTGAGGAGAGGCTGTTTGATGTTCGCTCCACCTTGATTTTCCCCCAGTGCCGCTTCCCCGTTATCTCCTTACCATTCATTATCTCAACCACTCTTTCCTGTCCCATTTTCACTTATAAGAAAAACAACAAAAAAACAGAGAAAGTCTCTTTCACATCAGCATGCTCCATCTCACTCCATTTAGCTTCCTTATATTTTCCACTTCTCTATTGTTGCATCATATTACCTTTAGTCCATTTCCTAACAAATCAATGCATTTAACTTCATTTTATATTTCTCATCATTTCAAAATAATAGCACTTGTTTCTCACCATTCGTCTCACCTCACCCTTTTTTATGAAGCCATTTCCTTCCAATTTTCCTGAAAGACTTTTTTATTTAACTACAAAGTGATTTATTACCAACTGCTGATTTTAAGCATAATATTTTTACTTCATTTCCTATTCCCTTGAAGCTGTAAAACATAGTCATTCATTTTCTGCCATGTGCTCTAATTGGCATAAGTAGCTTCTAACATTTGTTTACTTWAGAAATCAATGGCAGCAAAGAGGGCAGATGAGTGAACGTTAAGCAGGAACAATTATGACAAACTAGATTAATTCTGATCTAGAACGACAGGAGCATTGTCGGCAAGTAAAGCTCTTATTTTGTTGAAATGTTTTATCCAGATTTTAAATAATAAAAAATAGCACTTGATGCCTGGATAGCTAAAAAGAAATTTATTAGCTCTCATAAGGTTAATGAGTTAAAARTTAATACTGAATTAGTTTTGATTAAGCAGCTAAGACATGCAGTTGTTTGCACTGATTCTGTTACCATTTTTAACTGGATTTGATACTTGCAAAAGTGTTTTTAAGAATATTGAAAGTTCACAATTTTTTCTGTCTCCCAATGTGATACTCAGTACTGGCAAAAAAAATAAACAAAAAYAAATAAATAAATAATAATAATGACTAGATACTGCATTGTGGTAACATAATGACCCCCGCACAAATGCATCAGAACTCAAAAGTCTTTATTCCTAATTAATGTCATGCTACTAGG